GGAAAATGCATGCTCGATTAAGCACGAATTGAATTCTCTCCGTCCGTCGGACGATGAACGAATAATACATTTCTCCGTCGCGACCATTCTCCCTATTCTCCCTCTAACTCGCTCGCTCCCGTGAATTAATGGATAAATACTCTATGCGGCGTAGGTACAAAAGTTAGGAAGTTGCGAATGAAATTCAGCTCGGTGGAATTGCAGTTGTCGACGGACACGGTTAAATCATTAAGACCGAATTGGATTGATTTTCGAGGACCGAAGTTTCCCGCGTTGGATGTTAAAAGGAGTCTCCTTCTCTCTATTCTCTCTTTTTAACGCGCGCGCGCGCGCAGGCTATCGTCGAGAATCGATTTTCCGACTGGTGTATTTTGCTAAGGACATAAGAAGGAAAATTAATGTGGAAAACTAATAACCTCGGAACGTTTCCCGCAGAGATTCCCGTGCACGTCCTTCCCACTCGTAGATGGAAATTACAAGGACGCTCGCAATAAGGGAGCCACCAGGCTTGGCGATCGCGACATTACGGATGTATAGGCCAATTTGTAAGCAATCCAACCTATATTCGCCGGGCGATATTATGTTTTTGCGTTATCTTCCTTCGGCTATTCACTTTCTCCTTCCTCCCCACGTTCTCATATACGTGGTCTTCGCGCGAGTGCAATCGCCTCTTTGTCTTTACGTCGGACGTAATTGTCGTTATCAAAAGCAGAGATGTACGGCGTTATTGCACGCGCTTTTGTGGTATTTTGATAATGTTGACAGGCGTGAAATTTATGTCTCGCACTCGATAATATTATCGTCAAGTTATCACTCGCATATCCCTGAGGACTCTCGACGGATTCGAATCAATGTGCTGTGAGTTTTCGAAACCCTTTTAATTATATCAGGAAACCTACTTAATTTAGTTTGCAAATTCTTGATTGAATTTGCAACTAAAATTGCACAGTTTCGTAGCAACTGACTTTCATGGAAGTTGAAGAGAAAATTATTCGTATACATATCCGTTAAACATTCATAATTTTTTCTACGATTTATTCCGACAAAGAAATTTCTTGTGGAACATTGTAACTGATGACGAGAAGTCTATTCTATTGTCAGAATTCTAAGCACAAAAAATCATAAATTATGTTGAGCATATGGGATGTGAGGGGAGGTCTGTATTACTATGTGATCTTTGGAATCGCTTCAGACAGCCAGTACTGACCGTCACAAGCAGGAAGCGCCTGTGGCAACTAGACAGCTTGAATGAAAAAGTTCCGGAGAAAAGATCACTTCACGACCAAACACGTCAAGCATTATCTTGCGCCCATGATAACGCGCGCCCCCATGATCCTCATGGTGAAAGAAACGATTAATCTCTCCAACTAGAAAGTTTCCCGCATCTGGCTTATTCATCAGATATCGCGCCAAGTGATTATCATCAAAATCGACACAGCACACTCTGGTGCCACCGAAACGTCAAAAAATTCCAAAATGTACAAACGACTTCGTCGTCTTCGAACCAGTCGCGTTTTTTTACCCTGAAATCCCAAAACTGCCCGATGATGAGCGACTTGAGGTCATCAGAGACAATTTTTGTTGCATCATCAAAAATTCTGACGAATAATGGACCGAATCAAGTGACAGCCCCAATAGAAACGCAGGCACAATCAGACGTATTGTGGCTGCACTGTGCGCGACACGAAACGGCAGCCGAAGACGCGCGCGAATAAATAGGCGGGTGATTTATGAAGTGGCGAAGAGACACGTGTCTCTCTCCGCCGTCCTCCTCCTTCGCTCACCTTAAGCTCACGGGGGTTGTTGGGTCTTCAGTCGCGCGCGCGCGCGCGCGCAGGGGTCGCGGAGGGGTTGCCTATGCTGCCGACAGTTTTGGTCCAACATCTGCCCCCGAAAAAACAAAAGCCCATTGTCGCTAACGACCGGTCGCGCGTCTCTTGTTTCTAACCGAGCGCTTTTGAATCGTAGGCGCATAACGGACTCGAGAGAGAGAGAGAGAGAGAGAGCACAGAGAGAGAGAGAGAGAGAGAGAGAGAGAGAGAGAGAGAGAGAGAGAGAGAGAGAGAGAGAGAGAGAGAGAGAGAGAGAGAGAGAGAGAGAGAGAGAGAGAGAGAGAGAGAGCCGTCCATTCAGGCCACTCGCGCCGCGCGGCTCCTTCCTTTCGCTCTCGGCCGACTTGACGTGGCCAGCTCGGCCGATTTGTTTTTTTCTTTCTTCTTTCTATTTTCTTCTTTTCCCCATCAACGCGCCAGCCAGCTAGCACACCACAGAGACCCGGACGCGGCCGGACGTCGTTTCGCTCTGCGGGACTTTTATCGAAAATGTTATCGGATTTTTAACGTCGCCGACGCGCGTCCCGCTTCTCCCTTTCTGCCTTTCTTCTCGCGCTCGATCGTCGCCGACGATCTCGGACGAGTGCGATTAAAATCTCGCGTTCCTGACGAAGAATGCGGGACGTCGCTCGGGGCGCAATTGTCTCGTCCGAACACGAGTTTCGACGCACCGAGACTCCGCGGACTTATCTCGCTTCCGGTTACCGTCGCTCTTCCGCCGTTGAAAAACGAGAAGGCGCAGATAGGAACCGCGAAAGTAAAAAGGAGTTCCACCACGCATCTCAGGTCGATGCCAGCCGGCGAAGGTTCGGGGCAGGATCTTTATCGAAATCTTTCTCGTAGTTGTGCGTGTGAAGCATGTGGAACCTTTTCCCGATGGAGACCGAAATCTGTTTGGTAAAGTCTATCGTCACGGGATAGACATCAGAACGATATTACGCAGCAGAGTATCGCCGCGAGTTTTGCGGAGTTTTATCTCATTTCCGTTACGATCGTTTCACAAAGTCGTCTAATTGCTTTCGCGTGTCCGTCGAAAGAATTTTTATCGAATTTATTATATTCGCTGGGGTTTCGCGTAACTTTCGAATAAAATATATGGGACATGGGTACACGAGTAACTCAAAATACAAAAGTCCCGGATTTAGAGTCTGTCCTTTAATACACGGCCGAGTTGCGCACACACAAATCTCCCAGATATAAAAATAAAGAACCCGCCGCGAAATAGCGGCAATCGATAGAAGAAGTCCTTGACTCGCGCTCCACGTCCGCAAATCCGTGTTCAGCCCACCGCTCGGGGTGTAACTCGGACTACAAAGGGTTGCAGCGAGCTCGGGCTTGCGCCCTGGCCAATGGTCAAGCGAGCTCCGCCCCGAAAGAATCGAACGGTGTTGGACGCACACAGCGAGGACGAGGAAAAGCAAGGAACGAGAACGGAGAAGGAAACGGCGGCAGCTGGGGGTAAACAAACAGGGGTGGCGTAAAGGTCGCAAAAAGAAACGCACGAGCGAAAGCGAAAGAGAAGAGAGCAGGAGAGATCTCTGGGAAGAGACGTGCGCGGAAGCGAGACGAGATTACGTGCGCGAGAGAGGAGGGACAAAGGCAGAAACGAGCGCAGGGTGAGGCGACAGCGACGACGGCGCGGGGTGGAGAGGAAGAAGAAGAGCAGGAGGAGGAGGAGGAGGGGTGGAGAACGATCGCCAAGACGGCGGAGGGTTTTTCTTGTTTCGTCGCGAGTCTGGCAGCCCCATTCGGACAGATATGGATACTCGACTCGCCGAAAGGAAAGATCGATATACGCGACTCCTGCCAATCTCTATGTTAATGCGCGGAACGTACGAAAGAGAAAGGACACGAGAGAGAAGGAGAAAGAGAGAGGGTGGGAGAGAGGGAGAGAGAGAGAGAGAGAGAGAGAGAGAGAGAGAGAGAGAGAGAGAGAGAGAGAGAGAGAGAAAGACGCCTCGCGCGAGAGAGGAGCCTCACGCGACGGCATTTCTCTCCCGTGAAGGACACTCAAAAGTGAATTGTTACGTCTGCGGCTGACCCCGGGGACCTCTGCCCCCTCGGACCGACGGTGAATTATAACGGTTGCGTAAGAGGAAATTAGTTCTGTTTGTTATCCGGGGAAAGTCCGCTCGCTCGAATTAGCTGAATACCGTCCGCGACCGCCGCGCGGTGTGGCCGTAGGAGCGTATACCGTCGCCGAGTCGCGGGCGCGGGAATTGAATCGTGAAAATGAAAAACCGTCGCAGAAGCGAGTCGACATTTTTGCGGGAGAGACATATTTGTCTCGCCCTTGCGTTTTGCCGATCGGCGTATTCGCGCGCGTCCATGTATTCCTATTATTTCCTGTTATATATCCGCCGCGGAAACGATCGATGCGTTACGGAATAAATAAATGTCCCCATTTGTAGATTTACTTTTAAACCATTTACTTTAATTATGTATAATTACGCCGATGGTTTTATGGCCGCTCGCTAAAGGTAGCCTGCTCGTATAGTGCCGCATGGCTTAATATCTCAGCGCGGAATTATGGCTGCGTCGGATTAATGGGTAAATCGTAAATCGTAATGATTAATGCTCCGCAGCGAATAATGCACGCGACACATGTCTACGATTGGTTACATAACGATTGGTCTGTAACACGTAAATATCGATAGTAATAAGTAATGTACCGCGTACTGACGTTGCTTTCACCGCTCGCCGGCCGGAGCAGGGAAACGATAATTGAATGATTTCTTCCCAGTATTATTGCAGTAATACGCTGTTCGTTATAGCACAATCGAACAATCTCCGCCACAGGATCGCATCGCACGGTCAACTTCGTTGGACTGTTCATGTACAGACGCTCTACTTTTTCTGTAAAACTGCGTCCAACGTATCGCGAAATAATTATTAAGCGACAGAGATATCCTCGCAGAATTGCATCTCTGATGAGAATCCCGATACATTCGATCGTACGGTCAACGAAAGCTATCGACATTATTCGCTAAGAAGCAAAACTCAAACATCCAAAGCGCGTGTACGTGTGTGAGATCCGAAGAATTAGTAAAATTAATTAATAAAGAAATATGCCAAACTTGATACGATGCTTTTTTTTTAGCTAAAGCGATTAACATGAATTCCGCAACGCGACTGAACGAAGCACGCCTCTCCCTCTTCTTGTTACAGCGGAAACCTCGCAAAACACCACGTCCCCAGACACCGTCCAATGCGGGGGCTGCAGGGCGTCCTACCCCCTCGGCGAGATCGTCCGGTTCATCGAGCACAAGGTCAACCACTGTCGGAGCAGCCTCCAGGGTTGCCACAGTCCGCCGGCGACGGCTGCGCCGGAGGACTCAGACCCGGAGGACGCCCTCGCCCTGAAGACCACCGATCCGGACTCGAAACTGAACTCGGTGCCGAGCATTTCCGCGCCGATCAACAAGAGGAGCGGTCGGCTGGAGAGCCCACCGACGCCGCAAGGCCCGGGACCGGATGCTGGGAGTCCGATCGACCTTAAGGCGAGCGCCAGCTCGACGCCCAAGAGACGGACGGAGGCTCCGGACGAGGACAAGGAGGACCTCCCGAAGAAGCAGAAAACCGAGTCCGTGGACGCCGACACGAACACAGTCAATTCCGGTAAGATCCTCGCGATCCTCTCCTTACCGCTTCTCTCCGTCGCACGATCTTTTTAAACACGCTGCGTTGTTTCGCCTCTGTGAATGGCGGATTTTAATGGTACGAGCATGAGCGAAGTATCTTTGATGTTCGTACGATATTCACCGTGTCAGCGGGTTATCGATGAACTTGAGGACCGAGCTTCTCCCTCTAGCTTTCTTTTTCTCTCTGAGATTACAGAGAGCAATATTCTCCCCGATGAAATTCGCACGTACGCGAGAAATGTATTCGCGTCTCGCCGGTCTTTTCAACGCGAACGATGACACCGATATGTTAATGAGGTTGCGTCGGAATTATCATCGCGTGCAATGGGAAGGTCCTACGTCGAAATCGACAACTCGGCGCGGTCTCGTTGTCACGGAGAAATGAAATATCGCTCATAGAACAATCCGGCATCTCTCCGTTCAATATTTTGCAGCCGGCTTCGTTAGGTTACGAATTCGGTCGAACTGCGCGGGCACGGAACGACGGCAAAAGCGTGTCAGGAGTTTTCGCCGTTGTAGGTGTGAGACGAAAAATTCGTATCGTCCGCCTGCTCCGGCGAATTGTCGATCGTCCGAGGGGGGATGGAAGAGAGGGTGTTTTAAAGTATCGTTATACGGGGTCCGCCATGTGATGTTGAACCTGGTCGAGCGGGCACGAACAATGGCTCGGTGGATTCGATTTTTGAATTTAAACCACCCGCTCGAGAATTGGGGTGAACCTGCCCCCTCCCTCCCCCACACCCTGCCCCTCGTTCCTATGACCCCCTTTTGTCGGGGACTACATTGTCGTACATCGAAGGGTTTAACGCGCGAGCGTCCTCATTCGGCGACGCTGGATAAAGTATTGCGTTATCTTCTTCGCCCTCGACTCCTTTGTGCGACTTCGAAACGGAGCAGAAGCGCTCTATAATCGAACTCGAATCGCGATTGTCCGGGAACGGCAAGTTTCGTTCTTGATATTTCTTTTTCTCCCCCTCCCTATTCCGTAACTCGCGGCGGCTCGCAAACTTAGATCGAGCGTCTCTGCGCCGCGATTGCGTTTTCTTTTATGTATAGAAAAAGAATTTGAGAGATGTTTCGTGTACATATTATATATTTATACGGACCCGAATATACCGTTGCGTGTGTAATCGTCACAGGCAATAAATTCTATTAGCGACGTGCAAACTAATTGCATGAGCATAACATTATTTCTTTATCAAGGTAAGATACAAGAGAGAATAACACGTATTCATTGTTATAATTTTAAGTGGTCTCGCGGACCATATTTATCGCAGTCGACGGGGGGTATAAAGCGAGCCTGAAGTTTCGCAACCGACATTCCGCGATTGAGGTTTACTCCGATTAACTTCAAAGAGTCCATCGCGGCCTCAAACGAAATTCACGCCGGCGACACCCCCGATGAATCGAATGTCTCTCCTTTGAGATTCTTATGCGGCGCTTAACCGTGCAAATTGACGCAAGAATCTGCTTTGCAACGCAGAACGGATTTCCCCGTCGCCCCCGATGACGGCCACTGTCGCTTCTTCTATTTTCCCTCGCAATTAAATTATTTTCATGTAATAACGGGCTCAAAACTTTGAATGATTACGGAAGAAAAAGGGAAAGAGGAGGAGAAATCATTTCCTCCTCATGATTCAGTTACGCGAGGCAGCGGATCGTGCATCTCTTTAATCAGTTTACGCGAAAGAGAGGCGTGATCTGTCTCGATGTGACCCGACAGTTGGCTCACGCAGTGGCAATCCACCGGCAGCGAAAAACGAACCTAAATTCGAGGAATGACTGTAGCAGTTAAATTTGTAGCGGTATGGAAAACGAGGACGGTGATCACGATGAAACATAATTGCGCCTCCCGAAGAGCGGCACATCGGCGGCGGTCGCTCGCTCGCGCACCGGTGTCTCTTTAAAGTTTTATCACGCTTCGCGGAACTCGCCCCGACCACCCCTTTGCTAGCTACACGTTCTCCGGCAGCGAGATGGATCGAGTGATCGAGTGAGGAGAAGAGAACAGGACAGGAAAGCGAGCGAGAGAGAGAGAGAGAGAGAGAGAGAGAGAGAGAGAGAGAGAGAGAGAGAGAGAGAGAGAAAGGGGGGAGGAGAGGAAGACAGAGTTAACCCTTTCCGAACTGTTCGACGATCGCTATAAGAATACTTCTCGCTCGTGCGCATCCCTTCGTGCGCCCGCGTCGGGGATATTCCTCGGTTAAGCCCCTTTTGTCGCCTTTTTTGTCGGATTTTTTTGCTACCGGACAACCACGTCGAAAAGCCCAATTAGAATCGTCCTATTGTTCGGCCACGTGGTCCGCACGAGCCGTCCACACGAGCGTGCCCATATGGGTGGACGCACGCCGGTGTGAGTGCACGATCGATTCCCGGGCGTTGCATGCGAACAGGTAAGGCAACGCGTATCAGGAACATGCACGTGGGGTGGCACTGACAGGACGTGCCAGGACCCTCGACCAGAGAGAGAGAGAGAGAGAGAGAGAGAGAGAGAGAGAGAGAGAGAGAGAGAGAGAGAGAGAGAGAGAGAGAAAGAGAGAGAGCGATGGGTCCCTCGCGTCGTTCCTAGCGGTTTCCTGCCGTGGACTCGCGAATCACTCGCGAGCCAAAAAACGACGAGGTTCGAGCGGCGTTAACGCGATCTTACGCGCTCGTCACTCGCGTACGTCGAAGCCCGTACGAAGAGCCAGGTTCTCGCAGAGACCAAGCGCCGATGGAAACACGTCGTCTCTTCTTCCGAGGGCCGAGATGCGTCGTACGCGGAGAATTAGCGACAGCGTTTTCTGAAAAACGCCGAATTTCGTCTCCCTTCATCTTCGTCTAACCGGATTCGCTGGAAACGCTGGGGAGATCTGCATCGCGCAAAAGAATGACTCGTGGAAGGGACGCCTCACGTGCGGCACGGCGAGGGGAAACGCGGAGTAGAGGCGGACGGGAAGAAGGAAAGGAGCGCGATAATCCGTCGAAATTGACACCAGCCAGCGCTCCCGGTGAGATGCAGATTTGATCTATCTGTCACGTTTGTCTGGGAATATTAATTCTCAGTCCGCGGGTGAGGTTTTTCCCTGGCAGCTTTATGGCTCCTTTCCGCCCTCCTGCCCCTCGCCGTCCTTCTTTCCCTCTGTCGGTAGCGCGAAGTCGACGACTTTCCGGACCGCCCGAGGTGAGCGGGGAATTGCTTGCGAATTGGCTGTCGCTCGGGGTTTCGGGGTCCTGCAACTTTTTCGTCCTTCTTCCTTCCGTTTTCGTTCTCGCGCGGAAGGAAGCCAACGACGAGAGGAGAGAACGGCGCGTACGAGCCAAAAACCGGCCATCGAGAACTCTCTCAGTCGCGCGTCTCGTATTATCGCCGGAACCGGCTCGTTTGCGTCCCACATACTTTGTCGTTGATTTACTTTCGTTCCATTTGATACATTCGTTCGTTCTAATCGCAGGCCAGCCTGCTATTCGCTTTATTCATTGAGCAATATGAAACCTGACTGTCGCGTGCGTTTGCTGCGTAAATATCGCAACAAATCTTGCGACTGATGAGAATAAAATAGAAGAACAAGCACGCTGATGTAAAAATCAACGTGCAAGCCTTCAATATGGCCGGTCCTTTGAGGAGTTTGCTTCCGTTTCGACTGTTCCAGTTCATATTTTACCTCCTTTCTTCCCCGACAATGACAAAAGGTGGCTGCGTTCTCCGCTTCCTTTGCGCTTACCTCGCGCGTCTCGTAAAAGGAATCTCGCGAGAGCGAGAAAGAGAGAGAGAGAGAGAGAAAGCAGGAGAAACGTCATCAAAGCTTACAAAGCAGAAGTTCAATATACACGACTTCAGCGCGCTGCGACGCGTTTAAATTACCAGGTCGAGTGGCTTTTTGATTAATTTTTTCCCTTACGTCCTCGACGACGTAAGACGAGTCCGTCATTCGCCGGCTTCCTCTTTTTCTCTCGTCATGCAACATTGCGAGAAGAATGAAACAGCTATAAAGCTGGAGATCACGACGAGAGTGAGAGCGAGAGAGAGAGAGAGAGAGAGAGAGAGAAAGAGAGACACATCACATTATACTCCTTCGTAACTTCCAGATAGAAAAAATGTCGCGCCTTCGTTTCGTTTTCGATACACTCTCGGTGAACTCTCGAGCCTTCTGCGCCGTTTGCGACGGACACACACGTGAATTCGCTCGCAATATGCGACTACTCGTAATTTCGCGTGCTCTCGATACTATTGTCCCGGTTCATGGGTGCGACCATTCCGCAACGACTCAAGAAAGACTCGTACGCTTCTAATAAATTGAGACTCGACCCTGAGGAGAGGGGTTAATAGCCACGGTGGTCCGTTCGCGCGAGGTTTGCGGTCGAACGGACAAACTGAGTAACGGAGGGCATAAAGGCCCGTGAAGCGTTCTCCGAGCAATACTTTCGTGGAACTATAGTGACCACAAGGAGTATGTTACGCGACCATTCAAATATTCCTTCGGAGAGGACAGAATCGCGCCGGTCGTCACATTCGCGATTTTAACGGCTTTGGCTCTTTGTCGCTCTTTGACGACTCTGCGGTAGGTTGAGGGGAGACGCGGTCGTAAATAAAAATTCGCTGAAAAGAAATCAGTAAGCCGCGGTCACGATACAGACCGGATACTACTATACTGATACTGATTGTGCGATTCTTCAATCTTTCTATTTTTTTCCTTTTTTTTCTTTTTTTTGCGTCGATGGTTTTATATAGATTGGGATTTATAAGGCTTTCAATTGCAATGTAATATTTTTTGCAGCTAAAAGAGCGCAATCGCTTTTAATTCGCTTTTCTCTATTGCGCGACGAAGTTCTGTTCGGATTTTTAATATGCTTTACAGCCCGTGCATGCCGCGGATGATTCACTTGATATGGTTTTCTATACCTTCTCTCTTGTGTGCGTATTTCTTTTTTTTTACGTTTTTTAAATTACTCTCTCGGCTATTTATTAATCTGTTTTGGTGCGTGTCGAACACTCGA